GAAAATCACCATCTTAAAAATTGTGAAAAATGTCTGTAGTGTTGAAATGAACAAAAGTACATAGGTACATTAATGAGACGGAAAAATATTTCTACTAACAAAATCACAACGATCATTTGATGGTCGAGAAATAGAGCACGACTGAGAATATTATAAATTATATAAAACAATTAAGGTGTATTGAAATGTGCACCATATTATATAGACCATAGACCATACACATGGGTACATATTATTATAATAAAGTGCTATGCGATATACATATAGATACACCATATTATACACTGTATAATAATATGTACAATACAATTTCGGACACTCTCGACAATGACATTTTGGGCCGCTATTTAAAAGTTCTCCGTTGGTGGGAGAGGGGTGTTTCGCTGTATATATATATTATCATATGTGTACCTATCTTGAATTGGTTCGTAAAAGATTCACATTTTTTAAATGGCAGTACCACTATCGCTTACGTTAAAGTAGTAAGGGTGCATACAGCGAACGGTTTCAAGTTATATCGCCCCTCAAACCATATTAATATTATCTGCAGCTGTCGAAGGCGGCCATTATCCGAAAACCACCCCACCGTCGAATACGCATCAATTTCATCACAATATCGACGACGGACCCATGTAACCACATGATCTTATACCTAAGGTTAGGTTAGACAATCTTATACAATCGCCCATTGTATTTCACGCGCGCGGTGTATTATATATTATATTATGTTATACGCGCGCATGCGTGCGAATGGAGGATTTCGGCGGGACAACCGCCATTTTATTTTTCCGGTTCACAGCACGATAATGATATTATGACGTATATATAGGTATATATTTATATTATGTATTTTACGTATATATAGGTAGAGTACTAGAGCGTTCCACGCGGAAGGCGACATTACCCACACTTGCAGCGCAGGACCGTCGTAGCGTGACGGAATGGCGTCCGCGCGTTTATAATATATTATTATTATTATTAGGTACAATGCGATATCATAATATTATATTACATATTTTGTATTCGTGTTTCGTGCACCGCTTATAAGGTAGTTATAGCTCCTGTATTATTAAAGTGAGTATTGTTTAGGAACACCTTCGGAACTCCCTTCTGGCCGCTCATCATATATTATAATATGTTATTATGCACCACAAAAAAATATATAAATTCACGTTGCTCTATCGTATTACCGTGGTACAGGCCAAACGACAACACGTCACCACATTAGAGGATTAGATTTTTGAAGGCTAGCCGTACCTATATACGATTCTTAAGTGTTAAAAGCGTTAAGCCTATATGTATGCCTATATTATAAAAGCCCAGGAAGCTTATTATTGCGCATTATATTACGCATCACTATATAATATCAACTTTGAAATTAGCTTCTTCGTTTTTAGTTTTGGGAAGGGTAGAGCCGTAGAGGGTAACGCTATAGAAGTTTAGGTACCTGCTGATAGTGTATAGGTAACTCTATAGGTGCTTGAATGACAAGCCGTGCTGTCCATGATTAAAAATCTATTAATACGAATAAGTAACCGTTACATTGGGTCTTTCGTTGTTACGATTCTCGATTTCACCCAAATGACAACGTCAGAAAAACCTCTTGGTTTCCTTAGTTCCCTTATAGTTTAATTTACTATTTTGAGTAGTTACGGCCATATTGTGCTTCCTGCACGTCACGTGACACTATGGTGACAAATGTCAAGCTCGGCGTCGCCTCGGGAAACGAGTACCTATATATGTATTACACGTATTATACACCTACAAGATGGGTGAGGTGCGGCGGCGTAGAGAACTCGACATTTTTTAGAAGCAAGTATACTTAATATAACGATTCACCCAAAACATGAAAAAGGCATGTATATTTTCACACTTTTAATTACCTATGGTGTAGTAAATACTAAAATACTAGTTAGCATTAAATATTGTTATACCCATTGGTGACACACACCCTCCACCCCTTAAAAAAACCTAGAGGCGGTCGCTTCTCGACATAGCAAATATATGAAATAATACATTAATACGCCTATTATGATGTATTAGCTCTCTATAATAATAAATAATTATATTGTATTTATGTGTAATATTATTCTTGTCAAGTATGACGATAACTTGCTATTGTAGGCAGGTACTTATATCATATTATTATGTTACAATAATAACGCGTCGCAAAACTCGTCCACTGCGAACTCTGCGATTTCTTCCCGGAACTTTTTTACCATTACTCTATAATCGGGTATTATTTTTTTAATTCCAATTATAAATAATGCTCGTTGCTCGTATTATTGTATTATTATTATTATTATTATGCACGAGACACGCCTCCTTATTCGTCCGTTAATTAATTAGTGCGAGCGTCATTTCAATTAATTTATTGTCGGCTCTGCAGGATGCGCGCGCGCGTGCGCATTAACACCGTATAATAGTCGTGGCGTGGTGTGTATAATATTGAACGTGCACATTATATTTTAATATAATACGATATATTATAATATATGTATATAAATGTATTAATAAATATACATATTATGCATATGATATACGGAGCAGATTTCCAACCGGTAACTCAATATATTTCCGACAGGTATTATAATAACGCTATAATAGGTATATAATATATTAATATATAATATTATTATAATATGTTGGCGCGCGTTACAATATAACGCGTATTATATACAGGTGGGTACGTCGCACTACTACGTACAACAGATATTATATTATTAACTACGTACGATACGCGACCAATTTGTTTAATAAATTATAAAACGAGGCCGGGAATCGATTATAAAAAAAAAAAAAAAAAAAGGGAAAAAAAGAAAACGAGAAAGAGCGATGTTGAGACAAATATAATATTGTTATTACAATCAACGACCCGACGGTCGGTCGGCGGCGTGTGCCGTCGATGGTTGATATTATGATAATATTATTTTTCACGTGACGGGGGAAAAAAAAAAAAATCGTAGGAACCTACGTCATACTGCGGATATAGACCTATATTAATATAATGTTGTGTAAGCGCTTAACTCGGGTTTACCGAACGCGTGCGTCGCCCGAGCAATTTAAATGTAAATCGGCGGCCCCCGTCCGGGTCACCTCCCGCAGGGTACCACGTCCTCCTCTCACTCCTTTTATATTATTATTATTATTATTATTATATATTATATTAGGTATATGTGGCCATTAACGCCGGACGAACGTCGATCGACCTCCGACCCGGAAAACGGTGTGCGCCGCGTGACCATAATATTATACACGTCGTCGTCGTCGTCGACCGTCGTTTGTGTGTGTGTGTGTGTGTGTGTGTGTGTGTATAATATATTATAATAATATATAACTGCATATGTGCACTAACTACTAATAATAATATATACAGCCTCCAAAAAAAACATAATATACACACACGATGAATTATTTTATACTCATAACTCGTTCGCGAGTCGTTCGGCGCGCGCCCACTGTCTATCCGATCCCTTTACCCCCTCCCCCCACGTACCACCCTACGCTGACTGTTTAGAACTGTCTATCAATCATAATATTACTATCGGACCATACGCGCGACCATCATCACGACGATGACTGCAGTTTAGTGAATTTATGCATTTTCGGTGTGGCACGCGAGCGAAACATCTGCGTCATATAACATAATATAGTACTTGTATATAATATTATAATGTAATATATGGTATTATCATATAATAATATATTATTATTCATTGTTACAATCGTATTTTATAGCTTATTGTCTAGGTGTTTGAGCGCACCTAGCCTCTGCGCCTTAAAGGAACAGATGTGCCTTTACGCTGTTGCAATCTGAGTTGCACTGCTCTAAATTATCATACAGCAATAAAAATAAATATAAAATTAATCAAGAAGCAACTTTTGATAATGGTAACTTTATTTTTACAAAGAAAGAATAACAAAATAATATAAATGACTAAGTAGCCTTGTTGGCTCAACAATATAATAATGTGCCATAAAAATAATAGGTAGCCCTGCTGGCTCAACACAATAATAAATGTATAATGAAAATAATAGGTAGCCCTACTGGCGTAAAATATATAATAATGTGTAAATAATAATATGAGGCTCGTCAGCCTGTTACCTGGGATCTGGCGTTCGTTAGCGGCTTCAAACCAGAACGCTACCGTCTCGGGATGCACTAATTTTTACAATAAAAATAATACAATGTAATACTAAAATATGTGACAACCCCGAGAACGTGCGACTAACAAGCCACCAGATCAGACGCTTAATTCACTGAACATGCAATTCACCAAAACGAACAAATCACGTGCTTCTATAAGTATGTCTCTGAACGCCCTGAATGGGGAAAATAATATTAGAATTGCACAATGTAGTGACTACGAACGATACTTACAGAAGCAAATCACAGAACAGGAAACATGAACGAAAAAACAACGATGAAATTAGACACGAATTGAAAAAGAGACGAATAAAATATTAATGTGTAACAAGCTAGGGCCACACGGTTTTTGTACTTTGTACCTTGTGCCTGCTGTATAAAGTACTGGTTATATTGAATGTATTGACACTGGCTGGAACACCTCACAGCTCGAGTGCCGGCGAAAGAAGAAAAAGAAAACGAATGACATATTACGAACAAGACGAAAAGTTTCAAATATGAAGTGAGGGACAATAAAATAAATTCACGATAAACCGTTTTTAAACTTACAAAAACGGTTAACAATCACACGACGGATAACAACGATAACTGATACGGCTACGCAGCCTGATAAGAGCGACCGCTAGTATCACAGCTGGCAGGGAGACAATGTGCGCAGCTGTGGCACAACATTTGTTCACGCTGCTCAATGGCGCGAACATATACCCCCCTTTTGAAAGGATAAGGCCTTTCAAAACTGCATAATACAAGTGTGTATAAATATATAAAAAAAATTAAACAAAACCATGATTTATAAAAAAAAAAAAAAAAAAAAAACCATAATTATTTTAGAACAATTTTTTTTTAACAATGACTAGACAGCTGTATCCTGATTCTCATCTTCAGGTGTTGGTAGAAATGCCAACTTCACCACTGGACGGCTGAATAATTGACCCGCAGAGTTGCGCACAGTGACTGCTCTAACAATACCGTCTCGCCCTGGATGAATCTCTGTTATCCGGACCAGAGGCCATTGTAACGGTGGTAACAATTCGTTTTTTAATATTGCAATGTCGCCGACCACAGCACTTCGAGTTCTTTTTAGCCATTTTCCCTTCCTTTGACATTGGGGCAGGTACTCTGACAGCCATCGCTTCCAAAATATTTGAAATTGTGCTTGCATAAGCTTGAATCTGCGCAATCGGTTTTGAGGAACTGTCGAGTGGTCAGGTTCAGGAGGCAACATTAAAGGGCCACCGACCAGGAAATGCCCAGGTGTTAATACGTTTAAATCACCAGGATCTGACGACATAGGTGTCAAGGGCCTTGAGTTTAATGCGGCCTCTACCTTGCAAAGTAACGTCGTGGTTTCGTCATAGGTTAATAACACTCCCTTTGATACTCGATATAAATGCCGCTTTGCTGATTGGACTGCCGCTTCCCACAGGCCTCCGAAGTGAGGCGCTGCTGCTGGTATGAATTTCCACTGGATGGCGTTAATGCTTAAGTAGTCATTTACAGCTTTGTCTTTTTTATGTGCTTTAAATTGAGATTGTAATGCTCGATCAGCACCAACAAAATTTGTGCCATTGTCACTATACAGCACTGAAATTTGTCCTCGCCGAGCCATGAAACGGGAGAGTGTGGCAAGAAAGTCTTCTGTTGTTAATGAGGAAACCAATTCTAAATGTATTGCTCTTGTTACCATACATACAAACACGCATATGTAACTTTTTTTTGGTGTGACTCTTCTAAGTCCACTTCTCACCATGATGTGGCCACAATAGTCCACTCCTGTTTTCGAGAATGCCCGACTAATGGTGACTCTTTCACGTGGTAACGGGGCCATCACTGGCGAGAGGAATATCGGCTTTGTGCGGAAACATTGTAAACAATGATGGACTGTTTTTCTAGCGATTTCTCTTCCTCTAAGAGGCCAGTACTTTCGTGACACATGAGCAAGTAATGCTTGAGGGCCAGCATGCATTAAGCGACGATGCTCATAATTGAAGATCATCTTGGTTACCATGCTTTTTGAAGGCAATACCATTGGATGCCTTGAGTCATAACTTATGGGCGAGTTCACCAGGCGACCACCTACTCTTATCACTCCATGTTCATCGATAAATGGACTTAGTCTGAATAGTGGACTACAACGACGTACCAGCTTACCTGCCTTTAAAGAAGACAACTCATCATCAAATGCGCTGATTTGAGCATTAGTTACCCAGAATCGTTCAGCATCTGCAATTTCTGTGATGGTTAAAAAGCCAACTGTACGTCTATCGCGTTTGTTTAAAAGCGAAAATTTGCAATTATTGATAAAGCGCTGTACTAAAGCTGTAATTCTAAGCAATGTTGACCAACTTGAGTATTTCTCTAACAACCAAGGTGCAGGTGTATCTGATGCTGTGAGTACCAGCTTTACTGCACGAACTTCAGGAAGGGTATCTGGTGTTTGATAGCTGTTAGGCCACCTGCCTTTTCCTTGCATCAGCCAATAGGGTCCATGCCACCACAATTTCGACTGTGAAATGGATGCAGCATCAATCCCCCGAGAAATTAAGTCTGCTGGGTTTTCCTTCGTAGGCACGTGATGCCACTGGTCAGGAGACGAAACGTCAAGGATTCGAGCAAGCCTGTTTGATATATAAGCCGAAAATAGAGACTGGCTCTGTATCCAAGCAATTACTATAGAAGAGTCTGACCATAAGTATACATCGATTGGTGGCACATTGACATTTAGCGCTTTGAGTTCAGCTGATGTGTCATTGGCGAGTTCTGCTGCTAATAATGCTCCGCATAATTCCAATCTCGGAATAGTTGATGGTTTCATAGGGGCTACTCTGGACTTTGAGGTGTATAATCGAACGTCAATACTGCCATCAGATTTCATTGAACGCATATAAACACAAGCTCCGAATGCTTCTTGGGAAGCATCACTAAAGGCATGGAGCTGAATGTTTGACGAAGGAGACATCATGACCTTCCTTGGAACGATCACCTGATTTAAGTACTGCAAACTAGTATAAAATTTTGTCCAACGATTTTGTAAATCTTCAGAGAGCACATCATCCCAGCTGATTTTTAATGACCACAATTGCTGCAAGAAAATTTTTCCTCTGATTAACACGGGAGACAACAAACCAATTGGATCAAACACCTTACTGATGTCAGATAAAAGAGATCGTTTTGTCATTCTGGCTACTGGACACCATTGTTTAACTAGAAATAGAAAATTGTCTGATGCTGGTTGCCATAGAAGACCCAATGTCCCTATTGTGTCATCCTCGCTCATGTTTATGAGAAAATTGCTGTCGCTTTGTTGTTGTGGTATGAGATCAATAAGTTGGCGGGAGCTTGAACACCACTTTCGGAGTGGAAATCCATATTGCATTAGAGTAGAATGCAGCTGGCGGTAGATATTGTGCACTGCTTCTATTGACTCTCCACCACTTATCAGATCGTCCACATAAAAGTCCTGAGAAATGATTCTCCTAATTGAGGCATCATTCACTTCATCAGCGACTTTAGTGAGACACCGAGTAGCTAAAAATGAGGCGGCTTTGGTACCGTATGTTACAGTCTTCAGTTTATATTCTGTCAACTGATCATGTGGATTAGCACGATAACATATACGCTGGAAGTCACAGTCTTCATCTGCCACTCGCACCTGCCTGTACATTTTTTCCACATCTGCTGTGATTGCAATATTGTGGACACGGAACCGCAATAATATGTTGATGATATCCGGTTGGGATTTTGGTCCCTTTAACAAAATGTCGTTTAATGATAACCCTGAGTTTGATGCAGCTGATCCATCAAATACTACTCTAAGTTTGGTGGTTAGGCTATTCGCCTTCAACACAGCGTGATGAGGTAAGTAATAACATGGATTGGTAGTGTTGGTGGCGACTTCCATATGATCCATCTCGAGGTACTCGGTCATGAATGCCTTATATTCGTTTGCGAGACTTGGGTCCTTTGCAAAACGTCTTTCTAGATTTGAGAATCGCTTTTGGGCCATGTTTCGTGAGTCGCCTAATGCTTGTGGATCCTGGGCAAACGGTAGCTTCACAACAAATCTGCCGTTTTTGTCTCGTGCCACTGTTGATAAAAAATGCGCTTCTGCCTTTTGTTCATTGGCTGTTTTCTGTACAGCTACTGAGGTAAATAAAGACAAGGATGAACTTGAAGACACAGCGTTTGATATATGCTTGACTTGACTGAACTTAATAGGCATTTTTCCTACGACTATCCAGCCAAAATCGGTGCTGCGTAACGAAGCCGTTTCTGTAAGTGGCCATTTTTCAGTGCCCAAAATGTCGAAAAATATTTCTGACCCAAGCAATATATCAATACTGCCTGGTTCATCGAATTTTGGATCAGCAAGTTCGTCCATAATGTGTCTTGGCAACATAATGTCGCTCCGTTCAATCCTATGGGAGGGTAATACATTTACTATTGTAGATAATGAATGTAAGACAGCAGTCACTTCATGGACACAAAATCGTGAAGAAATAGATGCTGAGAATGAACTTGAAGCTGATGAACTTATGGAGCCGATACCAGTAATGAATTGTTGTTTGTTGCCATGTGATAGTAACTTTAATCTCCTTGCACACTCATTAGTGATAAAATTAAGTTGAGATCCAGAATCTAGGATGGCTCTACACTTATGCCAATTTCCAGCTGGATCTTGGACCATAATGATGGACGTTGACAACATGACATTAAATTTGACATCAGAGTTTTGACTATTAGTAGCACCTGCTAAAAATACTGAACTGGGTGCACTCCCACTCGTGTCTATTTCAGCGCAGTTTGATTCAGCCAGTAAATTGTTCGATGGGGTATCCTCATGTAATTTTGAATTGTGCCGTTTATTGCATTTTGGGCATGACGACAAGCGACAATCTTTAATTTGATGTCCATAGTTTAAACAGTTGTAACATAATTTTGCAGCAGCAACGGCGTTTTTTCTTTCAGCAATTGACATTTTCAGAAAACTATTACATGAATAGATTTTATGAGGTTGTGTGCAGATAGGACACTTAAATACCTTTCCTTCGGCAGAGTGAGTAAAAAATATTTTGTTATTATGATTGCTATTTTTTGCTCGTGAAGCCTTTTCAACTGAAGGATTTGATATGAGACCAACTTCGTAAGCAGTTACTCGTTTTGCCAAGAATGACTCAAGATCTTTGTAAGATGGTAGCTCCTTATCTTGTCGCAGTTGCCACTCACTGGCAGTGATAGAATCAAGCTGGCCACATATTAGTGTCACAAGCCATGCGTCCCAATGTTGCACTGGCTGTCCCAACGCCTTGAGAGCACGGACATGTGACGCTACATGATGATGTAAGTTGCGAAGCTCAACTGCAGATGGTGCATTTACTTTAGGAGAATGGAGAAGTGATCGAATGTGGCTCTGGATGGTGAGACCTTTGTTTTCATATTGGCGTACTAATTCGTTGTAAGCAACGTTGTAATTTTCCGATGTTATAGAAAAGTTTTTTATAATATCAGCTGCTGAACCCGTTACACTAGACTTCAAGTAGTGCAGTCGTTGAACATCGTTCAACTGTGCATTATTGTGGAATAAAGCATTGAATGTATCAATGAATGATGACCAGTCCTCCAAGCTTCCATTGAATGTCGGAGGCTGTATCATTGGCAACCTTACTGTCTCTCCGCCTGACGCACTAGAAGAATGTGATGTGTTTATAACTGTTGCAGTACTCATTTCAACGACCATGTCTTCCATGTTAGCTAATAGTGTCATATTCATGTCCTCAAACTCCAGTCGCGCAGCTTCATCTTCTTGCCCTTGGTCCAGATCTGAGATGCCTTGTTGAATTTCATTAAATTCAGAAATGTATTGAATTAATGATTTAAGTCTTATTTGAAGTTGACGACTTGATTGTGTGGTTTTGTTGAAACTGTTAACATAATTGCGAATCACTTCAACAGATGATTTGATGGAAGATCTTTTCTTTAGTAGTTTGCTTAATTTTGAAGAAATGGGAGGAGTCATGTTGCTGGAGTTAATGAATATAATAAAATGATGATCAACAATGTAAAAACAAATACAGTAATATCAATACAACATACCAAGTATGAAATAATTTTCTTATTTACTAATTTGATATAATAAAAATGACCAGAATTAGCAAATACAATAATAATATGATAAGAAGCTTCTTGATTAAATAATGTTAAACTGTATAATAATTAATTAATGCAATTATATAAAAACAGATATCACGTCGAGGTCACCAAATGTTTGAGCGCACCTAGCCTCTGCGCCTTAAAGGAACAGATGTGCCTTTACGCTGTTGCAATCTGAGTTGCACTGCTCTAAATTATCATACAGCAATAAAAATAAATATAAAATTAATCAAGAAGCAACTTTTGATAATGGTAACTTTATTTTTACAAAGAAAGAATAACAAAATAATATAAATGACTAAGTAGCCTTGTTGGCTCAACAATATAATAATGTGCCATAAAAATAATAGGTAGCCCTGCTGGCTCAACACAATAATAAATGTATAATGAAAATAATAGGTAGCCCTACTGGCGTAAAATATATAATAATGTGTAAATAATAATATGAGGCTCGTCAGCCTGTTACCTGGGATCTGGCGTTCGTTAGCGGCTTCAAACCAGAACGCTACCGTCTCGGGATGCACTAATTTTTACAATAAAAATAATACAATGTAATACTAAAATATGTGACAACCCCGAGAACGTGCGACTAACAAGCCACCAGATCAGACGCTTAATTCACTGAACATGCAATTCACCAAAACGAACAAATCACGTGCTTCTATAAGTATGTCTCTGAACGCCCTGAATGGGGAAAATAATATTAGAATTGCACAATGTAGTGACTACGAACGATACTTACAGAAGCAAATCACAGAACAGGAAACATGAACGAAAAAACAACGATGAAATTAGACACGAATTGAAAAAGAGACGAATAAAATATTAATGTGTAACAAGCTAGGGCCACACGGTTTTTGTACTTTGTACCTTGTGCCTGCTGTATAAAGTACTGGTTATATTGAATGTATTGACACTGGCTGGAACACCTCACAGCTCGAGTGCCGGCGAAAGAAGAAAAAGAAAACGAATGACATATTACGAACAAGACGAAAAGTTTCAAATATGAAGTGAGGGACAATAAAATAAATTCACGATAAACCGTTTTTAAACTTACAAAAACGGTTAACAATCACACGACGGATAACAACGATAACTGATACGGCTACGCAGCCTGATAAGAGCGACCGCTAGTATCACAGCTGGCAGGGAGACAATGTGCGCAGCTGTGGCACAACATTTGTTCACGCTGCTCAATGGCGCGAACACTAGGTATTATAGTTGCCGCACGACGATAATCCGAATACGAGTGCACAATATCGCGTTATTGGTAGGTACTTTAAAAACGACATTATATTATCACGTCGGGAACCGCGGGAATATGCAACACGTCAACACCGTTATAGGTATATAGCCATATAGGTACAATGTTATTGGAAATGATTGGATTTTTCAATAATAATATTCATACCTACACGGAATGTCGATTTGTCGGGTTTCGACTATTTGACGTACCTACAGCTGACTTGTATGCCGCTGCGGACGGACAGCTGGATACCTATGTGATTATTACAGGTCTTAGAAACAACGTATTATATATTGTATACGCAGTACGCACCTATAGTGTGTGTAAAATGTTAAAAAGAGAAACGATAGAAATGTTGGTGCACTAAAAAACATATCCCCCTTATTTAGGTATAACTCGTCGTACCTATAATATATATGATAAACTGTATACGCGTGTAGTGTGTACATATATCATTATTAGTTGAATCATGATGTGATGTTTCTGGCCCGATGGTTTTAAATCGTATTTACTGCTATATAAAATTGCCGTTTACCGTATTGAGATTCAAACATATTATATAGGTATCGTATCTTTGTACAATATTGAATACGTCGACACATTATGTCCTATACCTAAATTCGATACGCGTATTAAACGGAAGAATACACCACGTCGACGCATAATATAATATCACTGCTGCTGTGACCACGGGTGAAAAGTAGGTATCTGTATATATATATATATGTATATTAATAATTTTATGAAATTATATTTTAGTAAACGTGTTTTACATTATTGTCGATCGAATCGTCAAAATAAATATTATAAAATATATTAAGTAAATGAACCGATTACGTAGCCGCGCTGAATGCTGTGGAGACGTGAGCAACGCCGTAGTGCAGTTCATAATTTCATATTATTTTGTTCTAATTTGCAAAAATCTGCTGATTTCGTTGTGGTAAAAGTGTAAAACTATTAATTAATTAACTTCCGTTTTATTTTACATATTTTATTGTTTTTATCACATATTTAAGGTAATATTATAGCATCTATTTATGCGATTTTAAGTGATATAAACTCCCAACCGTGTAGGTATATTATTATGTTTATAGGTACTTTGTCCGAGGGCCAAATTCATGGTTCTCGGGAATAATAAACGTTCGTGTAGAAACTTTAGCTATACATACGCCGTACAACACAAGTATCATACGTGAATTTCACTCGGAGAAGATCCTTTAGAAAATTTCTCCAATGTAATATATAATATTGTCCTACATATAGTGTAGATGTACCTACTACGTACTCCGGGCAGTCCGCTGCTTTCCGCAAATGTAGTATAAGGTTTATTATACGAATAGTCTCTATGGCGGATTAGATATAGAAACGTATAAACGATATTGTTAGGTATATAATGCATAGTGCATACGCTATACACAAACGCGTAATCTCAGGAGTACAGAATATACCTAAACATATAGGTATTTTACATAAATGGAAGAGAAAAATAAAATTCTAGATAAACATCATCATGTGTCGGTATATTTGTTTTAAAACCAATTACCGGGTGAAAAATATTCTACGCGCGCACAAAGGTACCTACTATGTATATATATATATTTCCTCTATATAAAAAATATATAGTACACTCATCATCGCCGTTGTAACTGTGCAAGTAGGTAGTAAATAAAAAAAACTCGTTTCAAGTCGTATTTTCGCGATTTAAACGTCGTATTTAAATGGTTTTTCGTGGAATGTTTTTCGTTTTTATACGCCAACATAACATCGTATAATGTAATATTACACATAAAATCGTACGCACTGTGTGTACATATTATAATCAGTCATATAACTATATTTACGTCTGTATTAAGACATGCACCTAAAGATAGAGTACCTAACTGCCCACACATAATATTATAAATACAACCCGATAGTACCGTAACATACGCAAATAATATAACACTACCGAATAATAATAAATACTGTGCTAATAATATAACCAGTGATGCTCGAATTGGAAAGATAGAAGTAGGGGAACTCTGTGATAAATAATGTAATTAACGTCAACAGGTTTAAAATGTTATTTGAAAAACAAGGAACTCCGGGAATCGTATCAAAACCAAAGCATCACATATCACCGAAACTCAAAAGAAGGCTTAAGTGAGCAGGTTGCTGATGGCGTAAAGAAATGCTTTGTTGATAACAGTATAACGCACCACAATAGGAAACGACCACTTGGAAGACCGAGCAAAAGTGGGAAGACGGAGTAAAAAAATACGTAATGAAAGTAAGACCAGAGATGGTTTGGAAGGAGGAGTTGTCATTGGATAGATAAATCTGGAAAAACAATTTTTTGGACAACACGGTCTTGCAGAAGACCGAAGTCATGGATGAAGAATGAGAAGAAGAGAAAGAATATAAATTATTTAAAAACACAATAATTGTTAATGAATAAGATAAATATTTTGATATTGACTTTCGTGCTTTTTTTTTTTACAAAATATGCAAGTATTCTGGCGTTTCATGTAAAAAAAAAAAAATACCATAGGAGTATAAGCCAAGATTTCTGAAAAATTAAGGTTGAGGTGTTTCGTCCCCTTACGTCCCTCACCCCATCACACAAACCAAGCAGTGAATACAAACACTGCTGGTATGATATTATAACCGTCTTTATCTATAATATGTATTATATAATTTAACTTCTCTGGCTGACTGACTGGCGGACCGATCAACGTAGAGCCTAAACTATGATAGTTAGAGAATTTACAAGGGATCTCTAAGAATGGATTTCCCAAAATCTGCATTTTAAAGAGCCGCAAGTGCTCTCACAAGGATTTCGAGCATTCATGAAAGAAATTGTTTTTGTTTATTAATTGCTAGCATTAGTTACAAGATTATAATTTATTGTAATAGTATAGAAATAAGTATAATATATTATTATTTGTGTGTATATACATATAGTTGCCATTGGTTACTCGGGCATATGAGGTAAACTAATGCATCAAATAGTCACGTTTATGGCCTCGAATAAAGGTATTATATCTTACAGCAAGGGTGTATTGAATGTTTGTAGCTTATATTTTAAAATCTATTCGACCGATTTTGGAGAAAATTTCAAATTGTTTTCAGAGACACCAGTAAAGTTTCGAGTGTATTTTGAACATCGTTCGAATATAATATACCAAGACGTGCCGTGTGCAATCTGTCAGCGAGGTATGCCGAAACTGACTTGTCCGTGACCCGAGGTATACGCTAAACACCAAGATTCACAGGTCCTGACACATCAGCTGTGTAAATTGTATATTATATTTTCTTCGTTTTTCAACGAGAGAATTCGGGTTCTGCAGCAATAATAATAATAATATATAAGACGATAACATCATGAGACGTTTCGCGGGAGACGCGATTCGATTTGGATTGGTCTCCGTACGGAATACGCAACCATACGAAAAACAAGAAAATATATCTGTATAAGATATATTATTATTATTATTATATTACCATTATTGTATATGGGTGTACCGATTACACGCTGATTCGCGCGCATCAGAGAAATCATAACGCCACAGCGGCGGTGGCAGATCGTAATCGACGCGGATGCGCGCCCGCTCGCGTATAATACATTACAATAATAATAC